GGGGGCGGCCCCGGCGGGGAGGCGGTGCTGGGCAGAACGGGCAGGCCGGGACTACGAGCGATTTCAGCCGGCCTGCACGGCTCGTGCCTTAAAGCCGCCCCTCTGTTATGGCTCAGGGTTGTTCCCACTGGCGTCTAGATTGCCTTGTGCTTCTTCGCACAGAAATTGCTCCGGGCCGTGGTTTACAGTAAGAAACAAACGGGAATAAACTGAACAGAAAGTTCTGCTTAGAAGTCTTGGTCTAAAGCATTCCGTTGGACTGAGGCCAAGGCACAACACCATGGGTACCAGTGCAAAACCAGGAAAGTGGTGTTACCTTGTACCCCTATGCAGGGTGATACTTTTGCCCTTAAAAGCTTGTAAGTACAACGTGGTTCACATGCACCATAGCAACATCAGACAGGACACGGGTGCTTATCACCTCTATTATCAGAGTGCACCAGAGCCCAGACAGAGACTAGGATGCCATTTTGCAGGATGCTGTGCAAACAGAACAAAGAGCACTTGTCCCAAGTACCTAACAAAGACATCAGATAGACACAGGTAAAGAGCAGAATGCAAGCAGACAATGAAATTATACTGGTCAGCATCTCAGTGGCCAGAGCTAATGCTKATGCATTGTCTTTGTCAAGAAATGATGGGATTTCGAGAACAAGGGATGCCCAAAGGGAGTTTTATTGAAGTGTGTGAGGACAGACATGTTTGAAATTAAGCAAATGGACAACAGAAAAACTTTCTGATTCTGAAGGCAAAGTTGCAAAGACAAATTTCATCTAGAAGTACTGGGATATAACAAGAGAGGGAATATGTTGGTAAAGTACTTGACATCTTAAGGAAGCAATTAAAGACCCATTAATTGGGACATAACATTTATGGAAAAGAGCTAATACTTTTATAAGGTTCACAGTTTTCTCTATCTCTCTAGGAATGCTGTGTATCAGCAATTGGAAACCTGGGTAGGATTTCTTACTTGCTGCCATTTATCCTAAAATCCTTCTGCATTCACGTCCAGCTTCCAATATTGCCATTTGCCTCACGTTATGGTTCCCTTTCTGTATATGCCTCACCTYTTCCTTTCTTCCTCTATTGCAATTCCCTTCTTCTCTCTCATACAGTTTCTTGTAAATTATGAATAAAATATATGGATTGCACATCTGAGGGTGAGGCATGCCACACAGACAGCTGGCCTGAATTCATTTATATTTAGTTAGACATCTACATGAACTATGAACCCACACCCTGCTCTCAGCAGGAGAAAGCTCATGCTGAAGGGATTGATCTGATGCTAAGACAGGCATACTCACTTTTTGGGGACATTCTCACTTATGGGGACCATTTCTTTCCATTGACTATAAACAGTGCTTTGCACCAGTAGTCCAGAACTGGACATCTACCCCTTAAAATTACAGAATTATATGAGATGTCTCACCTGTGCTTGAACCTCACTTTATGTAGAAATCTCTTGATGGGAAGCAGTAGAGAAATCTCTCTCCTTGTGCCCTTTTCCACAATGCACGCATTCTCCTCTATAAATAAATACTATTTCCCCACTTTCAGAAAGCAATTATTTTGAAACAACCGCTTTGTCTTCACCTTTCCTCTGTCACAGCCTACCTTCTCCATACCGACTGTGAGAAATTGAACTTCTACTGATAGTTGCAAAATGCTGAAATATGTTGTAATCCCTCAGGAACCAATCTTGGAGAGGATAATTTCTAATCAGAAGGAGGAAATGCAGCTGCCAGCCATAATAGAAGAGTAATCTTTCTGGCTGTTGCTTTCCAGACTTCCTGCTTCAAGGCCATCACCCAAATGACCATGCTTAAAAATCATCATGTTTTCCTGGTAGCATTGGGCCTTTTCCCCCTGAGCACCAACTAACCCTCATTTTGGGAGCTGAATTGTGATGTGGATGGTTCAGGTGACACTCACAGTGCCAGTGGGTCTATGCAAGTGTTGGTCTTATTCTTGAAGAATGCTGAAAAGGAAAGAAAGACTATTTTCCTTGCACCCTTATTCTGTCCTCAAATAGGAGCGCAAGAGAAGACCACTGAAAGCATCAAGCCATCCCATGTCATCTCTGCACCTGAAATGGASCTAGAAAGCATTATTTAGCATTAATGGAGGAAAGCACATGGAAGAGGTATGTGTACTAGTCAGATGCCAAAGAGATTTAGGGGGAGTTTGAGACAAACTGAAAAAGTTAAGATTTCCATAGTCAAGTATTTTGTCATCCAGTGGTATTCACATGAACCCAGAAAACTCAACTGCCTTTGCTAAAAATTTGCATGGAACAGGATCAAGAAAGTTTGAATGACAAATTGGTGTATTAGYAGTCTTTCTATTGACAGTATTAGCAGTCTTTTAAAAAATATTTCTGGGAAAGAAAAGGGATGGATGGACCATCATTTTGAATACCCCTAGTTTGAAATTTGATTTTGTGTAGAACCACAGTTGTTCCAGACCAGTTATTTGTACCCTGTTTTAATTCAGCTGAGCTAAAGTAWACATCTCTAAGACAGAAGGGATGGGCAATATAATTGTATCTTTTTACACAGGCATTCACTCTTGAGCTAGTGTTTGGTCTCTTATTATCTTAAAATTGACTTTCTTTGTAGCATTGTACAAGGGAAATGCTCGTACTATGATTATGATATTGAAAATTATATATGCTGATAGCTTTGTGGAAATTATATATTTCAATATATGGTACAAATGTTCTGGCATTCACGACTTCTCAGTTAAAGGTTTATTCATAACAAAGAGGATGTGAAAGGGGACGGTAGCAATTTTTAAGTACCTTTTGTGTGAAAACTCTTGCTGCAGAGAAAATTACAGTTGTTCCTGAGGAAAGGTGTACATGCAAGATTATTAAGAGCAGGCCAGTGTTGTGTAAATCCATACAAAGACTTGCCATTTAGTCAATACTTGAACCATTGCTGTGCACATCAAACCTATGCCAGTTGCTGCATTATCAGCACCTTGAGCAATTAAGTAATCACTTTGTGACTGCTTGATCTTAAAAAACTCTCCATAAAGATGATAATAATTTTTGTTGTAGATAAACCACATTTTAATCCCTATTCATGAAAAGCAATACTACATAAGTATAAAATTGTGCTAGAACAAATGCATGTTATTCCAGCATGGTGTATCTGTTTTGCTTGGGTTGCACTGATTTAATAAAATTAATGCAATTAAGTCAATTAATGGGAATTTTACTAGTAAGGGGTTTTTTTTTATATGTTAGGTGTAATAAGTGTTGAATCCTGTCTGGGCTTCTATGCTATTCGGGGGAGGGAGGAGGGGTAGGAAATTAAAAATCAGAGATAGTGAAAAGCAAAAGCTGCTTGCAGACTGTATAATAAAGACAGTAAGTTGGGTGACACTGAGAAATGCCCCTCCAGCCTATGTTTGCTCAGCCTCGGGGGCAGCTCAAGCTATCAAAAGACATATCGGTGGCTCCTGACAACACACACTTCACTTACGAGTGTGTTGGGGCAGGAGAGTGAAATTCTGCTTTTGAAAGGGTCGGAACAGAGAGGGACCACGCCAAGAATACTTCATAAGATAAGAGAGCCTAAAGGTGTTTTAACAGTTTCCATTTCCTTGCATGTACAAGCCTGACCTAAACATACTGTATAATTTTCAGGGAACTATAGCACTTATGAGAGTTGGTTCATCACCATATCCTTCAGATTTCACACAGTTAGAGTGGCCCTGACACTTGAGTAACCTGGTAATTAAGTCCAGGAGTCTTTCTAGGGCCATAATTTGACTGTATGTTTGTGCAAATTTGGCTCCAAATTCATAAGACAGAGGATTGTACACAGACCACTTACTTTCAGATGCTTGGTAATTATCAAGTAATTATTTCAGTAATTATCAAGTAATTATTTCAGTAACTGCTTACTTGTCATCCATTCTCCTAGTTAGGGCCCAGCCTTTATCCTTTCAGATTTTGTAGTGAACTTAAAAGTTGTTCAGCTCTATAGTTTCTTTAAATCCTCTGCTTCATCAAAAATTCTTAAAGTAAACGTTTCCCTACTTTTTTCATTCAACCTCTCCCTAAGGTAATCCAAGAGGTGAAGGATCACTGGTAAGAATGAAAGAATATTCTCAACATTCATTAAATATTTCTAGTCCTTTTGCTGAGATTTGGTGGCAGACATGACAGTCTTTTAGACTGAATAAGATAATCAATTTTGGGTAGGTGAGATTGTTAATAAATAACACGGATACTTAATTCTGTCATATCTCTTACAGGAGAGGTGTGCTAAAAACTGCCTGTAAATTGAAGGCATGCCAGGTGATTGCTTCAGACACAGGAAAYGTGTTCACACCCTATATCTGAACTTGAGGAACCAGTGGAAGTTTTCAACCCAACAAATGGTGAAAGACTGGCTCCTCCAGGGCAAATGGTTCAAAGCCCTAACACCCGGAGTTTTGCTTTGAACCATCTATAAAGGAAGCAGGAGACAAGACTCACTAGCACCTGTGAATTAGTATCTCCAGGGTTAGAGAAACAGGAGTGAAGCTGTCCTTAGCAACTATTTAAATTTGGGGCTACATCTTTGCTGATCTGCTTCCATTAAGATGAATTGAGGTGGTGTCCAGTACATCCTCTGCCAAGGGGGGATTTTTTTTGGGCAAAGCCAGTTCGCTGAGGAGGAATAGGTAGGTACTGCTGAGGCTCCTTTAAAMAAACAATCTGTGCTGCCACTTCTTGCTGATATCAGCATAAGAGCTGGCTGGTTATAGGGGCGAACACATACATACCTCGATTAGCAAGCCAAGCTCCCTTGGGGCTATAGGAGAGAAAAAAAATCCCA